AAATTGAAGGTGTATAGAAACACACAATCAATGAAAAATCATTCAAGCATATCTTTTAGCTTACAGCAAGGTAAACAACCATTATTTCAAAAAGCAAAATATTTTGTACCCAAGAGATTCACGCAACAAAGCACACCCAGAGTAAACTTCAGGTTTTTAATGGAAAATCATATGAAGTATTGTCTCTATCTTCCACAAAGATAGAAAAAGTAATATGAGTTTTTAAAATGCAGTTTCTGAGATAACTATCTGACAAAAGTGTCAAAGACAGCCTCCTCATTATTTTTAACTTAGTCATCTTTTTTGGGGGTCTATTTTCAAAAATAAAATATCTTCTAAGTGAATTGTAACTTTATATGTGTATGTGGCGGAAAAGTTCAAGGGCAAGTGACTGTGTCTTATTCGTCTCTACTTTTATATTATATCAAATGTACGAAAATAAATGTAGTATGTTTGCTGAATAAACAAATGATCATTCAGCTGATAAGAAATAAAAGAAAAATATAATCAAGTCATTGATGAACTACCATATCTTCATTGCTGGGATATTCTGGGGTATATCAAAGTATCATTTGATAATGTTACCAGCACGAAGAACTTTTCCTAGTCAGAAGGACACCTTTGTTCAGATGAGAAGCTACTACTTACCTCTGTTCACCAATATAGTTTCCCTGCATTTATAATTAGTCCTAATTTTCTAAGTGTAATCCTCAATGACCTTTAATATATTTCTTTCAGCCTCCACTTGACTCTACTCATTTCCTTTTTTTTAATCATCCTGCTTTACCTCATTTTAACATAACCATTGTTATACTACAGCTATTGAAGCCTATAAAGTTTTGTAGCCACTGAAACCCAGGCAGTTTTGTTGGAATAAGCATTGCCTTGATGTCAGGCTGTGTTTCAGAAATGCATTCCTAGAGATTAAAGCCTGTTGCGTTATATTTCAAAGGGGTTTTTCTTAATTAAATCAGTAGGTAGTAGCTGCATCATTGTCTCTCCGAACAGGCTTTTACTTTGTCCCCCTGAATACTTCATGTGAACCCCAGTTCCTTTTTGGTTCCTGCTTCCAGAGTCTGTATCCCCATGGGAGACACAGCTTTTCTATTTTTCGCTAATACACCTGTGTGAACCCTAATACTGACCAGCTGGCCACTTTCTCTATCCTTTGGCCATCTCTTCCAATAATTCCCTACTCCATTTTCTTCTACTGATTCTACTTCCTCCACAAAGGATGCAGAATGGATAGTTGGGAATGAACTGTGTCAGGAGTTCTATTGTTTTACATGAAAGCAAGGGATTGGTCTTTTCAACTTGAAACTGATGTCTGTGATTCCCTCAACCACACTTTCAGTCTCTGTGAGAGTTAAAAATTGTCATATTTCTCAGAAAACCTGCAAAAGGAATGACAAAATAAGGTTACTCGGAGATGTGAATGGCTGCTTTTTCAACTCTCTTGCTTTGGAGCTTTTATCTTGAGTCTAAAAGCCATAAAGACAAAGAGAACAACAACTGTACATAAAATGAGACACATAAAAGCCAGGCTGAATTGTAGCTTCTAGTTCCCTGCGACCTTAGTTATGCAACATACACTTAATGTAACTGGGCTTTGTGAGCCAGAAATTAAGACAAATGTCCTGTCAAGGAGTTAGAATATTTGAAATTGTAACTGCCTCTGAAAATCCAAGTCTATGAGGAATAAAGGGCAAGTATTATTTTCCCTATTTGTCAGATAGAAAATGGAAGTCTAGAAAGATTTAGCGAAGGAAGCCTGGGAAAACAGACCCCAGGTGACAGAGCCCACATGTCCTTTCTCTGAGACTGGTGTTCTTTTAACTGTTATGTTCAGTCTCTGCCTCCTCTGAACAGGCCTTGAACACCACATGGCTAATGAACTTCCCAGTCACATCTCTCCTTCAAATATTCATTAAAATTCCTAAGTCAAAATGCATAATTATATTATAGAAATAATTAACATTATGTGGAAAAAATCATTACACTAAAAGTTTCAATCAGCAGTACTTGTGCCTCAGATAAACTTCATGAGCTGTGATATTGCCACAGCACAAAGATACATTAAAAGTTGACACAAAAGAAAAAGTTGATGTAAAATCCACTTGAATAGGAAAAAATTGTGAATGGATGTTTTAATACAGCAATGTATTACTTCCATCATTGTTGCACATACTTTGATAACCTGAATTAACTGTGTAGCTTCTAACTTTTTAAAAATCTGACTTGCCTAGTTTCACTTGACAAAATTTCTTGCAGCATGATAAACATCACTACTTAATCTTATTCTGACATTTGAAGAAACACACATTCTATGTGCAAGCAGCATGCAACTGTAATGTCATCTTTGAAAATTACCTTGTTACCTAGGCAGGAGAGTATCACATAAAAAAAAAAGGGGAGTGTTCTTGAGCAAAAGCAGTGTTAATCAACTCAGCATATTTAACAGGACTGAGCTACTAAGAGTTGACAGGGACTCAAATGGTCAACAAATCCAGATGGTCATTTATTAATACTTTGAGCATGTGTATGCCTTTCTTGAAGTTTGTCTGTGATGGTCCAGCAGGATACTCATGTTCAACCTCCTTTGGGACAGTCACAGATTTCTCCAAGGCAGCTGTGGCTGGGGTCTGGAGTGTCACTTATGGCAGTAGCACAAGGAAAAGCTGACTAAGTAGAGCTTGACTTTATCAACATCTTGTGCCTGTGCTTACATATTACAGACCCATGGTAATCATCATACCAGTAAAGAAGAAAGAAGACGTCGTCAATTCTCTACACTTTTGTATCACACTTCAGACTGCCAATGGTAGGTGAGCCATTGCCATGGTTACAAAGATAAGCAAGAATCGAATAAAACAGACCTCTGAGATAGAAATATATATAAATCTATCAGGCCTTTCGGTTACCACTAATCTAACTATAGACTGAAAAAAGGTGAGAAAATCATCACTAGGACTATCCCTACAAGGCAATCCTTCCATGTGTTTAAGTCTAGAAAAATCACTAGATTTTTCTATGTATTTTATTAGACTACATATATAATAAATATCTAAATATATGTACTGAGCTCTATATGTTTCATATATTTCATCTTATTTAATCTTCATAATAATCCTGTGAAATGGGTATGATAATTTTCCCATTCTACAAATGAGGAAACTGGATATAGACAGGTTAAAGGCAAAATAGCCAAGCCACACAGCTACTATGTTTTAAAACTGAGATCTTGGCTCATGTTCTTCTCATGACATCACATTTCAAGGTCAGCTGCAAGTGAAGGGCGGATAGGTCGGGTTCCAATAACAGCATTCAGAAGCATCTCTGAATCCAATTTTTTTGTAGAAGCTCATGAGGGCCCCTGAAGCTCAACTGATGTTGAGTGGAATGCCAACTTGAGTCAGTTACAAAGAAATGAGTTTGGTTTTCCAGCAAAGACAATTAGCATGTCCTTTATCTTTCATATAATTTGGCACCCTCAGGGAAAACTCAAAAGTGGCACTTTTTTTTTTTTTAAGGAGCTGCATTGTTCCCACTAGAGTTCAGCATTCTACATGGAGATTTCTACAACTGCCTTTAGGCCATGAAGCAAGTACAAGGGTGCAGGGGGAAGGGAGAGCTAAGGAAAGGTTCGTTTGCTCATGTAAAAAGGCATAACGGGGTTATATGCTGAATGTATCCTTACCTCTTCACAGCAAATTATCCCCAGGCCTTTGATTTAAGGCAAAACTCACCCAGCTATAGGCGGGGCCAAATCTCACCAAAGCCTATTTTTGTAAATAAAGTTTTATTGGATCACAGCCACACTTATTTGGTTGCATATTTGGTGATGTCTATGGCTGCTTTCATGCTACAATGGGAGAGGTGAATAGTTAGGATGGAGAACGTATGTTCTACAAAATCTAAAATATTTACTGTCTGGATTTTTACAGAAAAATGTTGACAATTTCTGGTTTAAGAAATAAAAGCTCTCTGCCTGAGGATCTCTGTGGGACTGCCTCCTGAAGCCCTCAGCCTGTAAGTCAGATCTTTTATGGGTTTCTCTTGGCTACAAGATAAGGCATCTGCTTTGTATTTGGTTAGGAAGCTCCCTTAATTATCTTAATTTGCCTAAAGAGCCTTTGCTGAAGGGTACTTAGTGATATTTTTAAGGCACTGAAAAAGAAATACTCTTTTATTTATTTTGCCTCTTATAAATTTTATTTGAACTTTTAGAATCAAACTTTGCTTTTCTCTTGTTTTTATTATCTTAAATGAGAAATGAGAATAGTTCTGCACAGAGTCCTTTAGCTGGCCTCTTCCTCCCCACTGCCCCCAAAGAAAAATGATACAACGTTGTCATTACATTCCAGTTTAAATGTAAGATGACATTTCCAAGATTCAAAGAGAAAAGTTGCTCTAGCAAATAGTTCTTTTTCTAATATCTATTTATCTGCCCACCCAGATATTTAGCACACTCACTCAGATCCACTGGGTACTTTTTCCTCAAGGAAGTTCCACCCTCCCTGGCCTTTGTGTTACCTCTTCTCACCTTCTGAACCTTTCCTTAGCTCTCCCTTCCCCCTGCACGATTGTACCTGCTTCATGGCCTAAAGGCAGTTGTAGAAATCTCCATGTAGAATGCTGAACTCTAGTGGGAACAATGCAGCTCTTAAGGTAAGAAGCTCAACACTACCTGCACAGAATTGGTTCAGGCTTTTCAGGGTCAAAACCAACCAAATCAGCTACAAGAATTAAGAATTGGTCTATGTTTTCTCAATTCTGTGGAAGCCCAAGCCCACTATTATTTTCATAAAATACAGTATTTCTTTTCATTCCCCTGGTAAATATCTTTCACATAGATAATACATTTGCCGGCCTGTCCTGGTCATTTTCAGCAGCCACAGGCAATTGCTTATCATTCAACAGAGTTCTACACAATCATTTCAGATGGTTCCCTTTTTTAGGCAGCCTTTTTAAGTAGGCTAGAAACTATATCTGAAATCACTGTGCTCGCTTTGGCAGCACATATACTAAAATTAGAAAGATACAGAAAAGATTAGCATGGTCTCAGCACAAGGATGACATGCAAATTCACAAAGCGTTCCATAATTTTTGGTAACCGGTGGGGAGGGGATGGGAAGGGATAAATTGGGAGTTGGAGATTTGCAGATACACACTACTACATATAAAACAGATAAACAACAAGTTTATACTGTATAGCACAGGGAACTATATTCAATATCTTGTAGTAACTTATAATGAAAAAGAATATGAAAATGAATATATGTATATATATGTATGACTGAACTATTATGCTGTACACCAAAAATTGACACAACATTGTAAACTGACTATACTTCAGTAAAAAAATTAATTAAAAAATAAAAAGTAAATAAAATCACTGCTTCCAGCTTCTTTAAGAACTTTTAAGTTAAAGTTTTAGCTCTAGAAAGCATTAGGGGAAGTTACTTAATTTTAGGACCAATTGGATTCTGTGAGAGAAAATAAGTACACTCAAAGTCAGTTTCCAACATTCGTAACTTTTAAAATTCAGCCACATTACCAGTCATCGGATTATAGGCTGAAAAAAAGGATGAAAACCGTATCTAAGAATAGAGCTTAAATGTAATCCTTCCATGTGTTTAACTCTAGAAAATCACTAGATTTTTCTATACCTCTTTATAGGACTAAATGAAAGGAAGTCCAGTGGGGGACTAAAAGAATCTGAAACAGAGTTAGCTTAACTGATCTACTTTATATCAAAAGAGGGTTTTAAAAGGCTTCTCTCAGAAATTCTGTTATTCTCCTATCATAAAAAAAATAAGTTAGCTAATGTTGGTGTCTTTTCGAATTCTAAGTATCTTTGTGACAGAGGTGGTCAGCCTTGTAAAATTCTCTCTTTACAAAAGATAAAGCTAATTCCCACCCTAACATCTAACCTACAGAAATCCTAGAGACTCTCAAGAAATAGTGAACTCACTTTGCCTGCATTGAGCTAAAGCATCCCTGGAGAAGCCTCATGGGTACCAGGAGCCAAATGAATCATGAGACAGCCTATCTATAGCCTGATAAATCCCATCCAACAGCTGGCCTTTTGGAAAACAAGCCACTACTGACTGAGCACCAGAATCAATCCAAATAACTACTACCATATTGGCCAGTTTAATACAATTCACCTTTCCTTTTCCTCCAAACCAGTTTCTTAAAAAAACTTGTTGCTCTTCAGGGAAGCAAAAGGTCTCTTGATTTTCACAGTCTGAATTGTTAAGCAACTACCTACCCATTCTTCTCTGCTTAAGCAACCAGAATCCCATTATTAGCAGCAACTATCATGAGTGCTTTTCATTTATGGAAGTAAACCAATGTCTGGGGGTAGCTGTGTTAAAATGATGTACAAACCTAACATTTGTCCTAACATATGCAGAAGAACTGCTTTCAGCCCTTTTCTATCAAACCAAATACAAAAATAAACACAAGAGTTTGAGTATACAAGTCTATTTCTATAGCAACTAAGCAATACACAAGTCATACAAGATCATAATGCCAAGATAAGAAAGAAAAATGTATAAAGGAATTGAGAAATAAATAGTAATTCTGAAAATGATTAAAAAGAAAACTATAACCACATCTCATTTTTTTATGTGTCTACATCTATTTGTTTAAAATCTAAAATATGCAACACAAAAGCCCATTTCAGTGATCAAGTTAATAAAAGACAATCCAATTTTAAATACTTACACTGATAATCTATATGACAGTATTTAAACTATAACAGCTGTAGCTTAGCGAAATCTGTAAAGAAAGCAGATGAAATTTCTAACATAAGCTTGATTTTTTACTATTAAGGATATGTTTAGTTAATGTGAATGATGTGAATGATAAACTTAAAGAATTTCATATTATCATAACTATAGTGAATGCATCATAACTTCATGGACTCTCATACATTCTTGTATCTTAAATATGTGACTCTGGCATGTAAAATAAGTAATCATTTGAGTTATGTGTGTGTGTGTGTGTGTGTGTGTGTGTGTGTGTGCATGTGTACAAAGATGAGTGGCTGGGCCAAATCAAAAAAATCGTAAGGGCTCCATCTTCGAGGGAGAAATATTTTTGGAGTGTGAAAATATGCCATATGAAAGAGTTAGTGATACATGTCTGAACAGTGCACTAGTGATGAAATCCATATGGACTAGGGTCAACTGAATTTTGAGAGACAGGTAAGATTTGGATAAACAGACAGGCTGGAATTAGCACTGCTTCTTCAATGGACAATAAGGTCTCTGGGCTAGTGATTTCCTAAATTTTTGCAAACAATCTAATGGAACTAAAAAGATAGGTATTACTCATTTACAAATGTTAAAAAGAAAAGAATAAAAGATTTGTTTCATAGGCATCCTTCTAATTAGCTTTACGGAGCCTTTGAGGCAGAAAGATTACAATCTTCCTTATTTTTTTTCTCTTTTTAAGTAAGTTTAATTCAAGCTCTGACATCCTGATGGTTCTTCTAATGAGAAAAGTGCTTCCACTCATATCACAAAAGTCTACCTTAGAGGACACAGCTGGCATTTGTGACTTAATTCTTCAGAGTAATTATGAGCTGAATCTCATTCAAAATCCATTGCAATAGCAAAGCTCTGACATCAATTTAAAAGGCTGGAAATATAACACAAACTTTTATTGCATTCAGCCATAATTTTGGAGCTATGTTAAGATTATGAATAATTCACTTAGCACCTTGCATTTTATTTATTCACAATCTAGGAAATAAGTTATAATACACAGGGCTGAACTTGAGAGTAGGTCTACCTAGTGTAATCCTTGGGTTTACACCATATGTAGCTTTTAGAGATGCCACAGATTTCACAAGTTAGAGAAGCAATAAATAATAAATTAAATACATTTGTAAATTTAAATACATTTAAATTTAATAAATCCTTTATTAAAATATATTGGATTTATACTTACAACATAGAAAATTGCAAAAAGCCATGATTTCTACCTTAACAATGTGAACAATCCAAGTAAGGTGTGAAATGATAACTTTTAAATTCATCAGAGAGCTGAGAACACAAATAAAACTAATTGAAATAATCTTCTGAAAGTGACAAGTACTTCCAAGTGGAGAAAAAAAAACATAGCTCCTTTTATCCTCAGCAGGCAGGAGGCAGCAGACAGAATCAGACATGGACTGATAAGGAGAATTCAGTAAGAGCTTTTTGAAAATTTAACGACAAAATATAGGCAGACATGAAAGACCAGAACGCCTGGCAAAGAGCAACAAACCACAGAGTAAACTTGCAATCATGCCCTACCCGCCCACCAACTCAATGCCATGGGCCTTCACTGATAACAAAGCAGTAGTATGCTAAAGCAAGAGCAGAATGCTGAGAGAAACTTTTATGATGTACTCTGGTATTCGCAGAGTGCACAGCACAGAGATCCCCGATAGTGCTGACTATATGGGAGAGGATTGTAAAGCAAAGGGAACTTCCCATTGACCCAAAGACTGTCAGTACAGATGTAAAGCATTAAGAGACCTCCAGAGTCACATCCATGCTCAGATTCCCAGCAATTCTGAAGAGAAAAACAGAACCCTATCCTGAAAACAATTAAATTCAGTAATCAGCAGAATCTAAACAAAACTGAAACAAAGCCAAAATAGTTAAAGCAATCAGATCAAAAGATGGCCAAGGTGTTGTAATTAAGAAAAAGCACCTCTAAAATAAATATTATCTTAAAGGATCTTGTGGAAGAGGTAGACAACATGCACTAACAGGGGGAATATCATTAGAAAAATGGGAATGGTAAATGTAAAATAAAACAGAATAATAAAAACAAGTGGGAATGTTAACAGTGAAAATGACCGTATCAGAAATAAAAACTCAGTTTGATGGACCTAACAGTAGGCTGGACACAGCAGAGGAGAATATTCTTGAATTTGAAGAAAGGCAAAACAAAAGCAAGCCACACTTCAAAAAGAATATAGATTTTATTGAATTAGTACAGGAAAGTTAGTAAACAATAACAACAAAAACAACAAACAGTAATAACAACAAAGCCGGGGGGGGTCCACACCCATAGTTGTCACATCATATAATTAAAAATTTATAGTTCTCAATAAGAAAATAACTGCAATATGCCAAAAAAAAAGAAAAACCACCAAGAAAGTATGTCCATACATAGGTGGGAAGGCAGCCAACAGAAACGGTTTCTGAGGAAGCCCAGAAGTTTGACTTAATAGATTGAGACTTTAAGTGAGGTATATATGCTCAAAGAGTTAAAGAGAATTATGCTTACATAATTAAAGTAATGTATGTGAATAATGTCTCACCAAATACAAAATATCAATAGAGATAAGGATTTTTTCATAGTTGTATATATACATCTATCAAAATTCATCAAACTGTACATCTGAAATATGTGTAGTTTACTGTACAGAAATTATCACAATAAATTTGCTTAAAGAGATGGAATAATGTTTTTTGAAGACAGACATTCTGGAATAAAAAAGTACAATAACAACAATGTAATTTTTACTAGAGGGACTTTTATTAGTTTTCTGGGGCTGCGATAACAAAATACCAGACTGAGTGGCATAAACAACAGAAATTTACTTTCTTACAGCTCTGGAAACTGGAAGTCCTAAATCAAGGTGCAAGCAGAGTTGCTCTTCTTGCTGTGACCTCACGTGGACTTTTCTTTGTGTGCATGCATCCCTGGTGTCTCTTTCTATTCTTATAAAGACATCATATATATTGGATTAGGGTACCTCCTTATGACCTTATTTAATTCTAATTAACTCTTTAAAGACTCTATCTCCAAACACAATCACATTCTAAGCTATTAGGGTTTCAATATATGAATTTTGGAAGAACACAACTCAGTTCATAAGCAGCTTCAAAAGATAATTTAAGCTGGCTGAAGAAAGAACCGAGGAGTCTAAAGATAGGTACACTGAGATTATAAAGCATAAAAAAAAAGAAAGAAAAATGAACAGAAAAAAAATGAACAGAACGTTAGAGACTAGTGGGAAACCATCAAATTGTAGCAATATACACATAAGGGGAGTCCTAGAAACAGAGGAAAGCTACAAACAGGTAGAAAGAATAT